CTGCCTTGCAAACATGCTCAGGTGTGTGCAAGTAACTGGTTGCAGGGAAAGCGTTTCAATTGTGCTTCTCAAACACAAGCCAGGCATATGCAAATGCAGCTCCAAGCACGTTTGGGAGGCTGTTGTTCGCAGATGCTCAGTGCACCTTGACCAGTGATGTAAAGCGAAGATACCGACCTGTTTGTCCAGACTCCAGACTGGAGTAGTTGCAAGCCAAAAGCCTAACATTCTTAAATATTGAACTTTCCAGACGGAGGTTGTGTTTGAGCGCAGGTGCTTCTGCAGAAACCATGCCTGCTGATTCTCCCGAGCCACATCGGCATATGTTGCGCTGTATTGTCAGCTGAGATGTTACTACGTCTCATTCTGTTATGCTTTGAATAGAGGGGATGCAAGTTTACCTTGGTCAATGCTATTTTGTGGGAAGGACATGTTTTGCTTCCAAGAGATACTATGAAGACCAACATGTTTCTTCAGTGGAGAACGTGCATTGACGTTGCGGGACGCTTCGGAAAAATATTTGGATTTGCATTGAGGCTCTACACGCCCCCCTCTTGGCCATAACTTTTGTGTGAATGCACTCCTAGTTTAATCGCAATATAGAAGAGCGATAACAAAAAGGAAGGGCCTTGGCCGCAGTTGGAGTCTGCTACAGCCCAATCTCGTGTCAGGTGCTTCACCAGTGGTGTTCCTGCGGAGTCTGTGCCAGGTGTGCCAGCAGGTGGGTCTCATTGTTTGGATTTGCCCATGGCTGACAAATGTATATAGAATATTTTCTAACTGTAGAAACGCTCTAATGTTGGCTGCCTGATTGAATCTGGAGTTTCAACCAGGCAACAGCAGGGTGAGCAAGTTTGGGTCTCTGACGTGACCAGACAACCTTGCCTTTGTCAGTGTGGACCCAATCTCATTGTGCCAGGGGTACCAACCTATTCTTTGGCAGAGCCAGCCTTGCCCAAAGGAGTCCAGCTCCAAGGACGTTTACGGCAACCCGAGGAAGTTGGCTTCCTTCGGCAAACCCTCAATCCAACCAGCTTTATATATAATTATATATATGTGTACCTTCCTTTTTAGGCACATGGTTGGAAGCTTCTTCTTCACAGAAGCCTAGCAACGCAATATGGATGTCCTGACGCTCTTCAAATCTAGCAAAGAAGTGCAACATGGGGCTCGACATAAAACACATGACGCTCTAGCAAGAGCTTGTTTCTTCCATTGACACTTCCACAATGTCCCCAGGAGGTATTTGCTGTAGGACAAGCTACTGGTGTCTTGACCTTGATAAAAGAGTTCAAATAGGGCCTTACTGGTGCCCTGTGAAGCATTTGGAGTCTGCCACTATTTAATTTAGTGGTAAAGTCTTGTCAACACTTGAGGTGGAGACTTTCTCCATTAGTCAGCGCTAGGCGCGGTTTCAAAGGAAGCGCCTTGCCGGTTGGAAAAGTCATGCCATGTGAAACCATGTGACCATGGAATTGAATTGTTTTTTTTTGTGCACAGCATGCGATACATGACGAGGGCATCCAAAACCACATTTGATGTCGGAGTGAACGGAGAGTCAGATTGGTAGTCAAATACAAGTGAGACTACGTGTATAGACGCTAATGCAGACTGACACGTTGTGGCATGCCACTGAGCAAGTGCATAGGTCAGGTCACGGATATAGACTTATAGAGGTTTTGACACATTCTCAGACTAGATGCATGTAGCGTTGCAGCCATGTGTCTTGCAGCACTCCTTCTGATGGCTTTTGCAAGGACCTGGTGAGAAGAAGATCCAGGTGATGGTTTTGCTTATGTCCTTGGCCCTTTCAGAAAGAGCTGAAATAAAGCTCCTTTCACAGGGCTTATGCTACTTTTGGTGGCCCGCTGAACTGGGTTTTCTTGTTCCTGGCAGCATCACTGCAATGAGAGTAATCAGGGCTGCGCATCAACCTCCCCAGTCACTCAAGAATTGTAGGCCTTCCAAGCGAGTGCACTTAGTCCCGAACAAAACTGGATAGCACGTGCTTGACTCTGAGCCGAGCAGCAACCACGCCATGCGTGGCCAAAGGATGAGTCTCCCTTTGCACGCACGCCCCGAAGTGGGCGCGAGCTCCGTGTTGCTGGGTCTATCTACAAGCGCAAGCAGCACCAATAGGTTGCCAAAGTTTGCACGCAGGTGGTTTCTATGCTTTGGCGCAAGCTACCAAAAGCAAAGACATATTCACACTACACACGCAATGTTGAGGCAGTTGCAAAGGATTAAACATGATAGCTGCAATTGGACATGATATGACATAATTAGACTAACATCAACATCTAATGGCACCGGCTGAATGAAAGCTTTTGGTTGCGTGTGCTTCTCAAGTTGATCAAGATTGTTTTATCGACGCGTATGGTGTGGGTCTTCGCTTCGGGTTGGTCGTTATAGCCCTTATGCAGACTTTTGCAGTGCACCCTGTTTTGCCTGGTCGCTCTACAAAGTATCCTTGACACCATGCCTTTGCCGTTGAGTCGTGCAATTTTTCTCAACCGTGTTGCGTGCAACCTGGAGAAAATAGCTGTGCACACGGTCCCGCTAGACGTTTGCTTTGTTCAGTGCTTCATTCTATGGACAGAAATGCCACCCCTCAGGCAGGCATCATGAATGATACCAGAAATGCTTGAGTTTGCATGGTATTGATAGTGTTGCAGCCCTGAGCTTAACCGTATTCATGAGCATCTCACTTAGAAGTCACAAACCTCAAATCTGTAGATCCTTCTACAAGTTGCTTCTAGGTGGACACGAGGAGATCGACCCAGCTGATACTCACTAAAGTACTCACATGATCCCTTTCCCCTTCTATGATAACTAAAGTTGTGATCCATTCCTTCTGTTTGATCTACAGATTCTGCGGCAAGTGAGGTTTGCGTTGTTTCAACCAACATTCTTGGCGTTTTCGTAAGAAATCAGGTTGTACACTTCGCAATGATGCCTCCTTCCCAATCGTTTTGCTTACCACCTTTTTGGAGCTGATGGCCTTTCAAACTCATCAGCTATGGCCCTGGCTTATCGGTCTCCCTGGCGGCCGGTATGCAACCTGTCTCAGAAGTCGAAGTCGAGAGCTGCGACATCCGCGATTGCGAATTGGGTGGCTGACTCTCAACCAGTCTCACAGGAGAACTGCCAGTCTCACTGAATGGCTTTCGATATTTGTCGCCACATGTCACCGTTTCGGATCCCCAACCATGTCCAACCTAAATGCTTGACACCACCCACGGAGGCTTCAGTCAATGGTGTTTTGTTGACGTATTTGCTTTGTTGCGCATGGTCGGTAGCATTTTTCTCAAGAAAGGCTTGGGAATCCGACAGAGTTGGAAATAAGCTAGGTATAGTTAGGCATGTTGAGTTACACGATGTTACACGCGTTGCAGCGACAAGCAGAAAGGCAGCATCGCAGTTGGCCACTGATATCATGTGTACCTGACAGTCTAGAGCACAGACACTGGTTCCTTTACGAATGGTGTATTTGTCATTGTTTGTATATTATAGAATCCAATCTGTCGTTTGCTTTTACTGGGGGGACAAGGACAAATTTATTTTTGTATTAGACCAGAGCAAAAATAAAAAATCCTACACACAAAAGGCCTCCGCCTCCACCTTCACACATCAAGTGTGCGGCATGCGGCTCACTATTGTCAGTGATGTATGCAGTGGGGCACAACAGCCTGAGAAGATAATATATAGTGTATATATATATAGTCGTTCCATCATGGGGGTACCACCCATACCCTTGCAAACAGGGAAAGAACTTGCATTTGTTTGAACTTGCATGCATTGTGTCAGATTCAGAAGCATGTGTTTTGTGAAGTATGTCCAGTCCAAGCTTCGCTGTGCTAGTGTAGATTGAACCAAGGCTTCGCTTCACAAAGGTTAACAGTTTCTCAACAAAATCACAGAGACGCATATGTGACAGTCCAACACAGGTCCGCAGCCTGCATGGTTGTTCTCATTGGCATTCGTTTGTACTCCTTATGTTAAGTTTCCCTAAACATCTAGGAAACAAAGTGCGTGAACTATTCTGCGTCCTACCTAGAAGCTTACCCCTACTTGCTTAATTCGGCAGGAGCCTATTTCATTAAGTAAGGACGGGCAAAAAAAAAGCACATATTGCTCTATAAATGTGCCACCTAGAATGCAGAATGGTGTGACGATGTACGGGTGTTGGTCCGCTTCCGGCAGCTTGACCCCCCAGATCACTTTGCTTTGTTCAGTTAGAGTCGAATCCGCGATTTGGGGGATCCTGTTTAGCTTTCACTTGCTTCCTGCTCTGTCGAATTAAAGACTTCTGAGAGCCTGGATTGTAAAACAAGGATCTATTGGATGAATTGTGTAGAGTAAATCAATCATTGGTGTAAGTTGGGAACTTCAGTGATTATTTTGTAAGGTTTGGACAATAAATATACACTTATGCTGGTGAACAAAAATGACCATGTATAATCATGTATAATTGATCTATGAATGTAGTCATATTTTTAATAGATAGTAATCATTCAATTATTGCAGAATTCTATTGAACAATGTATAGTTCTATTCGTGTATCGTAAATAAATGATTTGGCTTGACATCCATGATATCAAGCCCGGCCGTTAACTGCAACGTATTTATGCTGACATCACTTTATAGTCAAAGACTTACACTTAGACTTAGAATGTATTCTGGGTCTTCTTTACGAGGGCTTTGAAACTTTAGGCTTTGAACACTCTGAGATATATAGAATACTAAACACCATTCATAACTAAAGTTCTAGCATGAGGTCGAACAATGAACATAGTAAGGTTCAGCACGCTAAGTTTCTACATGCTAACAAAAGTTATCGCATAACATTGAAGTTCAACATTCTGAATAGACCGTTCAATCACTAATAGTTAGAACTTTATACAAACCTCTCTCAGAGGTTGAGATGTTCTGAGTGATGAATATGGCCAATGAACAACATACTATATATTTATAAAATATATTATGGTTCCCACAGCTGGATGTTTTGCTTTTGGAGATTGTGCCAGGAGGCTTTAGCAGGCATCCCATGGGCTGGCCGATCAACTCTGACTGGGCTTTTCGTGACTTCACCTACAATAGGATTGCCTTTGTTCTTTGACCACACCAAAGCTGGTTGTCTAAGGTGAGAGTAGCAGAGCGTGGGCCCAAGGATCCAGCGATATGGAAACGCCTCACTGCGCGTGCGGATGTCATCGCCCACTCGCTCACGCCAAAGCACCTGGTCACCAAAAAGGGACCTCGAAGTGTTCTTCATTTTATCCAAAGATCATCGAGCATCGATTTTTTCCTGAAGATGAAGACTAGTAACAAGAAGCTACTAGTAACAGTGCACCTTACTACTAGTAACAAGAAGCTACTAGTAGCTCCTGGCATTACCACTAGTAGCAAGAAGCTAGGCAGTAGCCAAGTCCAAAAGCCCTTAAAGGTGGAAATTATTTGCTTCCTTTCGATGTCTCGAACACGAGTAGCTGTGAGTTCTCGCGCAGCTACCTGAAACCTTCACAGCTTGCCAAGCATTGTTCAATTCATTCAGGATATGGAAATCAGTAGTCCTTTGTGGAAACATTCAATATGTTTATTAACTTCACGGATCAAATCATAACACAAACATGTTTCTGCTTCTACTGCTGGTTGCAGTTAATGTAGCCAAGGCAAGCCTCCTTGATCCTTTCCTCAATGGCTCGGAGTCGGCACTCTCAAGACAACTTCTTGCAGCGCTTTAGCCTGAAATTTGCGCCATCGCTGGTCTCTCAAGCAGAAATCATTGATTTGTGCGGCCGCTTGTCAACATGCGTATCAGCTTCAGCTTTCTGGAGGGTGCTATCGAAACAAAATGAACCGCGTGCAATGATCATAAAGGTCTTCTTTACTTTGTCATGAGGTGGGTCCTATGGCAATTGCAGCAGGCTACAGGTTTAGTTTAGTCCTGTTTCACAGGTTTGCACGTTTAGTCCAGAGGCATATTGAACCTCTCACAGTTGCAAGAGGAGCACTAGACAATTGTCTTACAGATTCCAGCAAACGTTGAGTCGACCTCCACATGTGAACTTTTGGCAAATGTCCAACGAACACAAACGAGTTTGCAGGAGTTGCCGTTGCCAAATGCACAATGAACCGTGCTTTAAAGGCTATCAGGTACTTGTATCGAGTATCGTGTCTCCTCATCTGGACACCACAGCAATGATTCTACCTCTTCTGGATAATCATAGAATGTTAGCGACATGAGCAAGTCCCAAGGAATATCTCGGCTAACTGCCTTTGCTTTGCACTGCTCGCGGGATTAACATTCATTGTTGTTCCTGTGCATGTCACCATGTCATGCTTGCCTTACTCATGTATGTGATTGATTGTCAGCCACTCCGTTTGCGGACGCTGTCGAAGGTGCATTTAATTAGGTGGCGATCCAATTCAGCTGGACCAGCTCTCACATCCAGCTCCTTAAACACTGTTACAGCTATTTTGATGCTTTCATTTGTTCTCAAGTTCTCAAGTGTTTATTTGTTATTTATCAAAGGATACTCTTTCTCAGTGCCAAAGCCGTGCTCATGTAATTCAGCTCTCTTTGAAGCCACCTTTGTTACTAGTAGCCATGCCCTTTGTTACTAGTAGCTTCTTCTTAGTAGTAATGCCAGGAGCTACTAGTAGCTTCTTGCTCCTAGTAGCGATGCCCTTTGTTACTAGCAGTTTCCCTTGTATGACAATTATGAGCAAGAACCAACTCGGTCTTTGATGGCCATGTAGTGGAGCTACTGCAGAGCTGCCATGAAGCGGCAGGAGTCGAGGAGGGTGCCGAGCCTTGCGCAGCTGAATCTCATGCTGCGCCAGCATCGAAGCCTGGACACCATACAACTTCGCTTAGCTTTGTTTGGCTGGCGGCAACAACTGTCGTGGCAGGTCAACGTCCGTGCTGTGCTGAACTCCCCTGCCATGCTGCTCCAGGTCTTGCGCGCATGGCGCCACGCCGTGTTGGCGGCCCGGGAGGCGGAAGCCTCGGAGCATCAGCGTGAGCTCCAACGATTTTACCAGGCTGAAACTGAGGAACAAGTGACCTTGGCAGAGCAACGCGAAGCTTTGCGCCCCCGCACGCTGGCACGCATGTCCACAGCACTGGAGAAGCGACAGGGTCAGCTCTGGAGGCAGTTCGCTTTCGAGGCTTGGCATTGTGTGGTCCAGGTGGAAGGTCACCATGCCTTTTGCGCGGCGCGAAGGCACCTGCTCTTTCAGCGCTGGGTGTTGCATGGACAATGTTTTGGTCAGCTCCTTTGTCTCCGGGGATGGCATACAGAGGCCCAAGCTTCGATGGGTCGACGCCGCATCGCCCGACTTTGGCTGAAGTTCAAGTTCGTGCACGCAGGTGCGCTGGAGAAGGAGTGGCTACACATACTGCTTCTTCGATGGGCAGCCAAAAGGCGGCGCTTCGCGAAGAAGCCTCAGCACTGTGCGTGGGAGCTACTGGCAGCCCAGCAGTTTAGTTGCACCCAGATGCTGGCGGTCCTGCAGTTGGCGTTTCACCGTTGGCACGAGGTGGTCCTCGCCTCATCCACACGTGGGCATTTGGAGATCTTCCAAAGGCAGTGCTTTGACCTTGTGCGGGAGGAGCAAAAGATCCAGGCCTGCTGCAGATTGGTCGATGTGATGGCAAAAGCGGAGCTGTCTGGTTTCTTGCTGGCACATTGTATCCATGCATGGAGAGAACTTCAGCATTCTCCTCCACAGGTTGAGGGCAGCTTTGAGAATGGTGCCGAGGCCGGGAGAGGCATCAAAGAGGGATCCAAAACAAATAGACAAAAACAAACAAACAAACCAAACAAACAAACAAAACAAGCAAATAGTCCAAACAACCAACCAACACAATGCAATGCAATGCACTGCAATGCAATGCAAATCATACATACAGATAGACAAACGGACAGACAGACATACATACATTGATCTGACAGGCTAGGCAGTAAACGTTTCTGCGAAGGAAGTTGATGTTTGGGGGGGCGAAGAGCGACCAGTTGTGACTGTTTTGGAGGAGTTGGTGATGCAGACAACGCAAGTCGCAACTGTAACCGCACTGTTTGCATTAGCAAGGTAGATAGAGGGAAATGCTATTTGTAGGAGCAGCATTGCTTCGATTGGAAACCATGCCCGTGAGAGTTAAAGTAGCTGTGCGCGTGTCGAAATGACGGCGCTTTATGACGGTATGTCGGACAGCGTTTGCAGAGCCCTGTTGTGGATGAGAGAACCTACTATCACTACCACTACCACTACCACTACGACTACTACTACTTCTACTGCTACTGCTACTGCTACTGCTACTGCTACTCCTACTACTCCTACAACTCCTAATACTACTGCTGCTGCTGCTGCTGCTACTGCTACTGCTACTGCTACTACTACTACTACTGTTTTGGTGTATACATTTTTTCTCTAGCACTCCTACTCAGTTAAATGTTTTGGTTTTGATCCTCGTTTGTCCTTTGTTGTGATTGCAACATTGCCGGATTTTGTGTTTTAAGCTCTACTTCATTTTTGTTTTTAAACGTAAGTTCTTTTGATGCCTCACCCACCAAGGCATCCGGCTCCGTGAAAGAGTGGGCCGCTGAGAGGAGGACCTGGCGCATGGCTTCAGGACTCTGTCAGCTGGAGCGGGTGCTAGCAAAGCTCCGCTCCGTCCGGCAGCGGAGCAAGAGTGCAGTGAGAGTTTGGCGTAGGTGGAACACGGGCATCTCATTGGAGCGGCAGCGCCAACGAGAGAAGCTACAGTTTCTGCGGATTTGCGAGCTCCAAAAGCAGGTGCACCCCATGCGTGCGATGGTCGCCACCCGCCGTCGCTTGGGACTTTCAAGTCTTTTCAGCCAGCTTCATCGCTGGCGCGTCGCCTTGCTTCAGGAGGTGGTGCAAGTGTGGTGGAGCACTACGCGTTCCATCCGGGACTCCTGCAACGACCACATCTTGGAGCTACGAGAGGAGGACGCCACACAGCTGCAGAGGCTGAGTGCCTCCATCGGAGCTTTGCTGGGTTCAAGTGCACAGCGGATTGAACAATTCGTCCTGGAGGCGTGGTTGCGGGTGGCAGAGCATGAAAAGCATGAGCGAGAGGTACAGGCAGTGCATGGCGAGCTCCGTGAGGCCTTTGCAGAGCTGCAGCAACGGGCACAGAGCTGCCGCGAGGTCTTCCGCACCGTCCTCACTTGGCTCCAGCAGAAGGGTGCCGATGTGAGGGAGGTGCTGCGGAGCTGGGCAGCAGTGGCTGCCAGCAGTATGCAGAAGAAGCTGGCCACGTTTCGGAAGCTTCAGGCAGAAGCAGAGATAACCAAGCTGTGCCTGCGGACCGGCGAGTGGATCGACAGCCTCTTGCTCCGACGGGCAGTGAAGCAGTGGCAAAGGGAAGTGCTACAGCAGAGACTGATCCGACACTCTGAGCAGGAAGAACGAGCGAAGAAACTGCAGTCTCGGCTACGTGTGCACGGTCACGTGGTGGATGTGGTCCAGGGATCTTGGCTTGACCAATGCTACACCACAGCCATGGCACATGTTTGCCTCGGTGCCTGGTCGGTGTACTCCGCTTTGCGGACAGCGCAGCAGCTCACTGACCGGGCCCGTCAGAACTCCATGGGCCACCACACGCGCAGTTTGCGAATGCTCTCCCGGACCAAGGCACTTGTGCGAGAGGCTGTGTACTTCTCCTTGCATCGTGGGGAAGCCGGGGCGCAGCTGTGTGGTTGGCCGTTTGTCGCTCGCATTTTTCCATTGTGGCGTCGCTGGGCGGCAAGCGCGTTGCTGGAAGCACAGGCGCGGCGACAAGAGGCTGCCAGTCTGAAGCTCACGGAGGATCTCCGCCAGCGGACGGAACGGCACCAGGAAAAGTGGGCGCATTGGGCTATCTCGCAGATGGTGGAGCATCAGAATGCTAGGCTCCTGCAGGATGCCTTTGTGATTTGGTGCGATCAGCAGCCGGCACCGCCGGGTGCCTGGCGGAAGCGCGCTTCGCACCAACGAAGCCTGGACATGGCCGAGCAGGTCTTTGTGAAAGTTGCAAAACCGCTTCAAGTGTCTTTTACTGCATGGAAGCGAGTCCATGGTGAAGAGAAGATGTGGAGAGCAGAGGAGGACCTGCGGCGTTTGGAGGGCCAACTGGCTCGTCGTGCGGGAGAGCGTGGTATGTCGGTGCCGCAGCTGGAAGAGCGTTTGGCCTTTACCGAGGCCCTCCGCGTTTAGGCTTTTGGCGCTTCAGAGATTCGATAACTGGTGCCAAAAAATGATGCTGTGGGTTTTGACTGAGTGAATATGAGGCCCTTGATAATACCACAATAAGTCTGCGTGATGCTCAGGAATTGTAAGCGGCCTCAGCCAGTTGAATGTTTATCAAGAAGAGCTCCTTAGATGCAACAAGTTTGGTGTATCCGTGTCGGAGATGCATGCAGTCTTGCACACTTTTCTTGTTGAATAGATCATTTGTTCTGACGCTGAAACAACTTTGACCTCCTTGGGATTATTAGATTGGGGGTTCAGCCAACCCCGGCGGAGGTTGATGTCCATATTTTTTTACAAGCGAATCCATTTCTGATGCTCGAGTTTCCAGATGTTTCCAGCCAGTGCCTTGCTGCGCATCACAAGACTTCATGAGGCTCTTTGCGATGACTTCTCAGCGACTTCGTGAGGTGGCTCCGCAATTGGATGCTCGTCAGGTTTCCTTGATGGCCAATGCCTTCGTGAAGGCGAAGGGGGGGGCGAGGGAGAAACGAGAAACGTCACAAAGGGCCTTCGGCGGCTGATTCGAAGCTTTCCTATTTGAAGTTTTTGGTCGAATTTTTCTGAGTGTTTGACGTGCTCATCACAAGATTAATGATGCAGTTTTCTCAGCGTGGTGTTGCCTCTAGTTGGCAGGGAGAGGTGAACAAGCAACATCAGCATATGTTGGGTCTATGACTATGTGACTATGTTTTTTTTTCACATTCTGGTGACAAGAGCTGATCATCCCATCTCAAAGTGACGTGACGTTCCCGCATAGCCGGCAAAGGACCGGACGTTAAACGGTTGTTCATTCTTTCTGAGCTGACGAAGCAGCTAGAAGCTGACGAAGTGTTTGATTTGCGAGATGGTGTGTCCAGTATTCAGAAAAAGCACAGGACCTGCCAAAGCTTCCTATACTCATTCTGATTTGCTGTGGATGTACTGTATGTAGGCTGGCCATTTGGACATGGAGCTTTTCCAGCGCTTACTGAAACAGGCCTATGGTGAGTTGCAGGGCGAGCCTGTGAATAACCACTGCACCTCCTAAAATGCATCATATCATGAGCAGGCATGTGACAGATCATGGCACAACACTGAAAGACCGTCCTGTGCACATTTTTGAACCCCTGATTAACCATGCAAACTTTTTCAGTACAAGACGTACTCTTGGAGTGTGAGTCGGTGGGTTCGTGGTTTCATGAAAACTTGTTGCAGTGCAAGTGACTCCCTGAACTGTTTTGTAAAGGACTTGGACGCTAGTCGACGCTAGTCGGGTAGGACGCAGATGCCCGGCCGACGCGTTTTGTGCCTCGTTCCAAGGCGCTACGGCAGTTGTCCAAGTTTACTGCCAAGGCCAGGGGGGGGTTGTGCAGCAACACCGCAATGGTGAAGGTACTGCACGCTGGGAAACTGTGGCAAGATATAGGAAGGTACTGTGTGGCATTCCAAAATGCAAGCCTCTAGGCTGAGAAAAACACTATCTCTCATGCAAACACGTGACATTCGCATGGGTGATGGCATGTTGAGCGACTGCCTTTAGCTGTTCAAATGCAACTCATAACTTTGTTTGTTCAAGAAAGCACTGAGAAAGAACGACACGTTCATATTGCACACCAATAAGGTTATATATTGATACCTCAACACTGCTCCTTTCAAGCCTCGCCATGAGGATGCTGCTGTTATGCTCAATGTCGTGCCCCAAGTCAGCTGTTGGACTGATATATACAGTATTGTACAATGTATATATATATCGGAAGAAGCGTTCATTACATACAAAATTGTTCGGTGTTCACTAGGTTGTTTCCAGGCTTTGTCGGCTTGTCTGTTTTCTTCTTGCATGTTTTGCTGATTTGATGTGGATATTGTAAAGGTAAAGGATGGCACAATCGAACTTTGTCTGACTTGGTTGCTTCGCAGGGAGAGTTAATTACGGCAATCTATTTTTGCAACCAAGGCCTTTTCGCAGGTCCCGGATTTCCAGGTAAAGGACAGGTTTTTTTGAAAGTCAAAAGCTAGCAGCGGATGAGACAGCAAAATTGATGCTACAACGTACTATGCAGTGATAATGTCGCAGTCATATGTTGTACTTAGTGTATCTTTTCGAAACCCAGGAAGTTTGCGTCCTGCTCAGTCCTAATTATGACATCTATATAATATATAGTCTATATAATTAGTTGATAATAAAGAAAGAGAGAGGAAAAATAAGGGTAAGGCTCCCTTTTAACAAGGCCCCCTTTCAGGGGGGCCTTCCTCACGGGGGTTTTACTTTTGTTATGTCCCTCCCTTGTTGTATTGCATATTGTGAGGCTCGAGGTTAGTATATATGAGTCTTGAGGATGTTGCTTCAATGAACTTGGATTCGCAGGAGTGGGATGACACATTCCTGGATGAAAATACGCGGGAACTGAAGACAACACTGGAGGCCCGCAGACCTAGCGCCGCGCCGTGTGTTGCTTGCAGCTCCCGAGACACTTTGCCAGCGCACCTTTGCGAACACCAAGACTCTTTCAATGTTCTGTTTGTTTTCCAACGCCTTCCGTCCATGGCATGGGAGGCACTAGCTTTGCGCCTTCCTGATCTTCTTCCCAAGGCCGATCTCCATTCGTTCGGAGACCAAGTGGCAGCCTTTGCTGTCGGATCTCAGCCTTTGATGAAAGTACTGTTTGGCGCCTATCGAACCGACATGAAATGGATGATACGTATATAAATGTTCATGCACAAATGGCACAACCCTACCTGTGCTCGTTTGTTGCTCCCACATATGCATGCTAGGCTTTCCCAAACTCCTTCCTGCGCCACGCAAATCCAAGACACTTAACAGACACCACCCCCCTTCATAGGTTGGCTTTGATTCTCAATGCCTTTGCCCAGCTGCAATTTGTGCAGAAGGATTTGTTGGATCTTATGAGTCAGGAGCCTCGATTTGTGCGCTTCAAGTTGCATTTAAGTCCTATAATGTTTCCAGGCTGCTGTAGCATGTGTCGTTCGTCCCCGAAATCAGATGGATACGATGTCAGGAAGGTTTCTCCGTCCTCGAGCCTGGACTGACGGAAGAACCAGAGCTGACCTGAGCCGAGGAGCTGTTGTTGAATGAGGAGAAGCTCCAGAAGCTGACACCTAGGCAGCTTGCCATGGTCCTCAATGCCATTGCGAGGTGGAAGGGGGGAGTTGGGGTGGCGAGTCCTCCTCCGATCTGAGGATCTGAAGGTGCTGCTAAGTCAAGATGATAATCAGATATAATCAGCAAGACATGAGCGCATCAAGACGTTACATACCAACGCTTCATGAAGTTGATTTGTAAATTAGATGCGAATGAAGCCTGTTTGAAAGGAGTTTTGAAAGGATATGCTAGCCAAGCATGCCAAAGATGCAAGCATATCCATTTGTATCTAAGAGTGTGTGAGCAAAAATGTGGCTGCCCCAAATATCTCACGAGAACCTATTATGAGGAGCATGTTGTCACGCATTGCTGGCTGGCTGGCTTTGCCTTGACTGACCCCAGTCTTGCATATTCTTGCGACCATGCATCAAGAGGCTTCAGCTGCATGAACCTCGCTTGATCGAATTGCTTTCCTCCGTTGTACGCAGTGGCGCCCATGCTCCTCGGACTCGGCTTGGAATTGGAAGAGAGAGGGGAAGACGGATGTTGTAGCTTCTAGCCCCTAGTAGCTTCTTGTTCCTAGTAGCTTCTTGTTACTAGTAGTAAGGCCAGGAGCCCCTAGTAGCGTCCTTGCTCCTAGTAGCGATGCCCTTTGCTCCTAGTAGCGTCCAAACATACAAGCCCGCTCGTGACGCCTTAACGAAAACGAACAAAGATGCTTCAATTCGGTTGCCCTCCACAGGCATTCTGTGGAAGTGCTCCATGCCCAGTAAACTGATGGAGGACTCAAAAGAAACGATAACCTATGTTTGTGACTTACTACTGAATTGTGGCCATGTGTGAGTGTGCCTAGAACGAAAAAAACGCAAGACAGCCCAGAAAATCTCGAACAAAGACTGATCCATTCCAGTGGCAAGGAATAACATAAGGGTCTCTTTCATTGGGTACGCTGAGTCCATGTATTTCTGAGGGAAAACTTATAGCTGGAATACCCAACCCCTGTAAAACGGTAGGGACTCACTCAGTCGCTAGACGAGTGTGGGCTGTCTGAGTAATGTTGACTGCGGCTCACATAAATAAAATAGGGCTCCCCTTTGTTTTCACCCCCATACCCTTGCTTTCGACCCACCTTTTTTTTGACCCCTTTAAACTGTTTAAATTGACCCCAACCCTTTTTTTGACCCACAACCCTTCTCTTTTGACCCACCACGCGCGCAAAGTTTCAAGTCAACGAATCCATGCCCGCAGATGCTGTTGTCGACGAAGAGCTTGCGAACGTTAAAGCCAGGAATTGCAAAAAAGCCACGCTGACTCTGACTGACGAACCATATCCACTGCTAGAGGGGTTTTCTCCAAGTTTCGTTGTGCAGTCTTAGAAGGTCATCTTGCAGCAACACTCTGGAGTACCCCCACCCCTTAGCTGAAGCATGGATTTGAGCAGCGGGGTTTTTGAAAAAAGTAACTTACAATTTCATACTCCTCTTCAAAAATGTTAATTACCCCTTCCCACAGGCCCAAAATTGAGGTGCATGAAGGGGGTAGGGGGTCTTAAAGTGCAACATGATGCCTGCCAGGTATATTCTGTAGTTACAACAGCTCATTCCCCTAAAGGAGGTGATTGTAACCTTTTCTGCCAGCCTCTATGTCACATTAGATGTGCCGCCCCCCCGGTGCAGGAGAGCAGGATTGGGGTCAAAATGGCCGGAACAATCCCAAAGCATGATTCAGGTGAAAAGTACATGACCCAGGATACAATTGAAATCGTAAGCCCACCAAGGCGCACACCAGATGGAAAGATGTGTTGTGAGGCCTGGAGAGAGTGAAGGACGCAAGAGTGGAAACATGCTGTAAAATACAAATATTTTTTTAGGAAAAAATCAAGGCCCAAACAGAAAATGTGCGTGATGTTTTTGGCCCACGCAGGTGGCAAATTTACCAAACAAATGTAATGAACGCCACACCCACAAAGCGTAGACCAGGTGAACATGCAACCTAGGTTACATGTCGTTGTGGCACTCAGGCCCTTACAGGCTGCACCATGATCCAGGATACAATTGCAATCGCACCGCGCCCCCAACCCCAAAACAGAATTTACCGACCAAAGCACACACCAGGTAAAGGTATGCTTAAGCTTTGAACTCCAAGCAGTCCCACAAATCACATACCCGGTGAAGATGTATACTTCCAAGGCCTGCGCATACCTAAGTGGGTCGTGGGTCCAAAAAAGAAGGTTGTGGATCAAACAAAAAGGGTTGTGGGTCAAGAGAAGGGTTGGGAATCAAAAAAGGGTTGTGGGTCAGAAACAAAGGAATGCGGAACCCCATACTAAAATAGATAACTATGTGATACTATGTGTATAACATTACAATACTACACAGTGCGCTGAGAGTCTCATACAATATCGGAACTGCTGACTATAGTAATAGTATGTGACAAGCGTTCTTGCGAACGGATGCACTTCATTCAGTTCTCCGTGTATAGGCCCTTCTTGATGCTTTGCTCAAATGAATCACACAAGTACTAAGGAATACTGAGGAGCGCAAACCAAGCCAAACGTTCTCGATGAGATGTGACAGGTCATTCAATCATGCAAATTGCTGAGGCATTGGACCCGCAGGGCCTATGTTTGGTGGCCAATGCTTCAGCCAAATTGCAGTCTGGCACCCAGGCCGTGGATGCACACCGTGCAAAATCCACCGGATACATCAGGCATGCTGCTGATGTTGTTTGAGTTTCACTTTGGAGGTGTGTGGTTTGCCCTGATTGTTGTTTAAAAGTGCATCTCTTGACCAAAGACTCTAGAATCTAGAACCACACGCTTAGATGAGGCTCGTTTTGCAGAGCGTCCATGCAGCGTTCGAGATATTGTGGCCGCCAATTGTGGCCTTTTTAGATGGTCAAGCTTGGAAGGAAGACGGAATATTAAGAGAAGGTGTTTGGCCCCTTTAATGGGGCCCAAGTCCAAGCACCTTGTGTTTTCTATAAACACTTGGGGCATAGGCCATCATGAAACAGCTCCTTTCATCAGCATTCAAACTCATAGCTCATATGATTCATATGGTGCGTATGACATTCGACGCTTCCTGCAGTGCGGTTTCGAAAGGTTGGGCCTTGAGACCTTCCAAGTGCTCTTTGTTCGCATCCCCAAACTACTATCTCGCTTCAGTGGACGTCACTTAGCCTGGGGCCTAGCGTCGCCCAGACTAAACCTTTCTTCGGCCGTGCCGGCTTGAGGACCGCTCCCGTCTCTACAGTCTTGTGGTGTTGTTTGGCATGTAGTACCCCAGTACCACGATGTGTTTGAACAGGTCTTTCAGCTTGCATTCTTTGTACATCATTCTTTGACTATTTGCACAGCGGCTTCGTTTTCGTTGCAACGCAGTGTCAAGGCATCGACGATCCAAAAAGAGTCCTAATCATCGCTTGTAGCAATTGGGCGGTGCAAAACAACAGGGAAGCAGGCATTCTTGCAAAGTGCAGGTTTGCTAATAACCCATACTGGCCAAGGAGTGTGAACCTTGCCTGTGATGTTGTCCGTTAGTTTGCACAACAATTCCATTTTTCAGCATCTGTCACACTTCGCCTTGGCCTGCCAGAGGCGATGCTTTGCCATGCGTGGGCAAAGGCTGGGGCATTCCCAGAAATATGCCGATCCTTGTATTTGCAGGGGTACTTTTATGAGATGTTTATAGCCACAGACTGGGTCAGCTCCAGTTGAATTGGTTCGCATTTTTTTGCTGTTTTTTACGCATTCTGATTTCCCATTGTTTTTGCTGTTTCTTTTTTTTGCTGTTTTTTTGGCGTTCTGTTTTGCTGTTTGTTTGCTGTTTTTTACTGTGTTTTTTTCAATGTTTTTCTTTTTTTGGTTCCCCTGCTTGCAGCGCTTGCAGCAGCGCAGAGTTCTCACACTTGTACCAGTGAGGCCAAGAGCATTGGCAAGAGCATGTAAAAATCATGAGTAGAACATGTGGCAACGCTTTTTCTTTATGGCAATAATCCTGTAGCCCCCCTTGTATATAGATGCAATGTATGCTCAGTAGTAGTTCTTAGTTGCCCCATGCAGTGGCCCTACTACCAGGAATGCCCAACACCAGCCGTCCACATAAAGCAAAAACTCTGCCTGGCATCCCCTGTGGTGTTGACTCATCCTGAAAATCTAGAATGGCAAAAGAATGGCACACTGTTTGACAACCAAAACAACCAAAGTTTTGAAATGGCAAAAAAATGGCAAATCTCTGTAAACCACCAAATTGCAGGAATAGCAAAAAAATGGCAAAAACTCGAGGATTTGCCATCTTTTTACCATGTTTTTGCCATTTTTTTTGCCATTCCAATTTGCCATCCCCCATGCCATTCCCAAAGGGAACCCCAATTCCACCAAGCGTTGTTTTGGCCATCCCTCCTTTTGTCTAATCTAATCCTTCCAACCAATGCAGGTCCTGTTGTTTCGGTTGTCTGGGATGACCGGGCGGCAGCCTGTCCCAATGTCTCCGAAATGAGAGTTGCCTTCCCAGATGTTCTTTACACTGAAGAGCAAAGATAAAGAACAAACCACATGGATGCAAACGCGCTTTAAGGCAACTAGCAACAAACACAAAGGACGTACTGTTGAAATCACCCACCAAAGCCACAACTCAATAACAATACAACACTTTTCCTCAGCAAAGGCGTCAGGCAGCAAATCCACAATACCCAAAAAAACACCAAAAAAATGCAAATGCAAAATGCCAAAAAAATAGCAACAAAATAACGATAGCAAAAAAACAGCAAATGCAAACAGCAAAAAAACAAAAAACAGCAAACAATTGATTCATTGGATTTCCAATCTCTGGCTGGTGAAAAATCTCATAAGGGTACTTGAGAATATTACCTGTTTGCAGATGTCAGTTTCTTCGATCAATGACATTTCTACTACCAACGTGGCCTCATGTCAAGGGCTGTTCAGAGCAAATTTAGCGTTCTGTGGCCGAGTTGTTGATTTCGTGTCGTGGGGTTGCAGTGTTGGTGCTTCGAAGAGATTGACCCTCCAGCAGAATGTTGGGATTGTTTCATTTGAGTTGTTCTGCAATTGGTGCACAAAGCACTTGATCTGTTGACGCTTTGCTGCAACCTCTCGAGGCTCACATTCACAATGATGATTTGTTCGAGCTTTTGATTTTGCCACTCGCAAGCCACGCAGCACGCCTGGAAGCACATGAGGCTGGACTCCCCTGCTGGTCAATGTATTCTGACTAAGGGCAAGATTCTTTACCCATCATTCCATGTTTCCCTAAGCCCTATGTTGTCCCAAACTTTCCAAATGTTGAGTTTGTTGCTTGTACTGTTTGCTCTTAATCGTACTGGTATTTGGTTGCTATTGTTGGCGACGGTGCAGCCGCGGCGTGTTTTTGTTTGATTTTGCACTTGCTTTACCATCCTCAATTACCTGTGTTGCTTGGTGGTTGCAGGTAGCCATCACCCTCTACGGCTACGCGTTTTCCCAGCCGGTTCTGAATCCCTTTGAGTGAAGGATTCGTAAGTGATCAGAACATATCAGAGCTGTAGTTTGCTTATTCACACTCTTGCAAAGTGGGCGTCAAAACCACGTGGCCAAATGTGGCAACAGCACATCCATCAGCTATATAAGATTCCCTTTAAAGGCATTCAAAATTCCACACTCTGGAGAGGTCTCAAAATGTGAGAGCTGATGCCAGGCATTTTCGCAAGTCGCCAAAGGAGCTATTTGATGTGCTGCAGCACCGGCCAAATTGCCTGACCAACTTTTGCCGGACAAGAGTATTGCCAACAATCTATTTGATGTGATATACTTGGAATATCTTGGAATATCGATATAGCAAATGCCCCTGTTAAACCTCAAAAGGCCGAGATAGACATGTGGTGACTTACCGGATGTTAAGGTGAAATGTTCGGTGGCATTGCAGCTATCAGCGAGTCCCTTGGCTAGGACTAGGAGGTCTTGAAAGCAATGACCAAATGTGATCGAAGTCAACACTGTTGATCCAGATGATGTTGGTGGGTACGTCATTAGTTTTCCCTTCAAGCTAAGTCAAAGAGGATGAACATGGCTACAAAATGCTACAAAACCTACATTGCCTAACGGATTGCTTT